GAGCAGGAAGGCTGACGTTTCGGGTCTGGACCCTTCTTCAGAAATGATTTTCCTGCTCCTCTGATGCTGCTTGGCCTGCTGTGTTCATCCAGCTCTACACCTTGTTATCTCAGATTCTCCAGCATTGGCAGTTCCTACAATCTCTGTAACAGAAAGGGCTGGTTCAATCATGCCTCTTTGAAGTAATCTTGAATAATGTCACTTCCCTATTCTTTCCAATGTAGACCTGCAAATTGTTTCAATTCAAGTAAATACCCAATTCTCTTCTAACCACCCAGAAAGGCAAGGGTAGCAACTTGGCACATCACCACTTACAAGTTCCCCTCCAGGACCCTGACTTGAAATTATAACCTGGGGTCAAATCCCCGAAGTTGACTCTCTCAGCAGTACTAAAGCCCTCCCATGGATTGCAATGGAGGAAGGTGGCTCACCAGCACTTTCTCAAGAGCAATTAGTGACAGACAATTTAAAAAAAAACTGTCCAACACACAGTGTGTCTCGCATACTGCGAAGGAACAAGAGAAATTAAACTGACGTGCTGCAAAGAACCCATCTGAGGATCACATCTACCTCTGTCTCACCATGTTCTTGCCATAAAGCAGGGCTTTATCATAGAGTCTGATGGCTGTGCTCAGCTTCGTAGCGTGTTCCTCCTCGCTCTGCAGCCCCACATCGAAAGCGCTGGCATAGGCCTGTTCAGCCAGGCACCTGGCTGCACGGAGCGACCGCAGGGACTCGGTCTCTCCCCCCTCTTCCCCAGCCATTAGCTGGGAGAGCCGCTCCAGGCACTCAGCCGCCTGCGCCTCCTTCTGCAGCCGGTCGTACACATAGCCCAGGTTGGCCAAGGCGTTGAGGTTGCCAGGCTCCTCCTGGCACACGCTGGAAAAGATCTCCTCGGCCCCCCGGTATTCGTCCAGGTAGAAGGCGAAAACCCCCAGCAGGTTGCGCACAGCGAAGCGCTGAGCGCCAGCGTCCGCCTCCAGCTGCAGGCTCTCCCGTTTCAGCTTCGTGTCTCTTCGCCTCAGCCTCTCGCCTTGGAAAGGCTCGAAGTTTAAATTCAGTTCCAAGTGGAAGTGCCCGGGGATGTAATCCATCTCCTGAATGATCTCGTCGATGTCGCGTTCTGGGTCTTCCCCCATCTTTTACTGAAGAAGACACTCTCTCTATTTATGCATGTAGTCCAAAAATCAAGATTCATCTTCGATGACTCCTGGACTATCGAGATTAGGAGGGATTTGAGATGGGTGTGCACTGACAGTCTAACCCTTCCTATTTTATTCGGTGGCACGTTTCTTTGTAACTTTAGTAAAGAGGGTACATTACTGCAGGTTTTATTCAAGTGGAGACAATTTTAAGACAAAGATGAGGAGGATTTTCTTGTGGCGTCATTAATCCCTGTAATTCTCTATCCGAGAGATGTAAGACTGGTCATTAAATATATTCAAGGCTGAGAGAGATAGTAGGAACTGCAGATGCTGGAGAATCCGAGACAACAAGGTGCAGAGCTGGATGAACACAGCAGGCTAAGCAGCATCATAGGAGCAGATTAGCCTGCTATATTCAAGGCTGAGTTGGTTTTGGGACCTAGAAAATGGGATTAAGGCATAATCAGAGCAACTATTATATTGAATTGAAGAGTAGGCTTGAGGGGCCAAATGATCCAAGCCCATTCCTAACTCATATGAGTTTGTGTAATTCCAATAAAATATCATTCATTCCTCAGTATAGCACACCTCCAGTATGATAAGGGGATCTTGACGGCTGTCTCAATGTGATACATAGTCTTGTAACAAGAGATTTTGTTATGGGTCATATTCTACATAACAACAGTGACTCCACTTCAAAAGTACTTAAAGGGCTATACAGCACTTTGGGATGTCTAGGAGTTCATGAAAAACACTAAATGAATTATAAATAAAGGGATCCAATATGAATAATCAATGTTCCAAATCCGTAACCTGGTTTTAATACCTGGGACTTGCATGGACTAAATGGTTTTAAATGAAAAAAATACACACTGTAAATGGCCACAATCAGCTGACCAAAGATGCCAAGCTTCATTAAACCAACAGAGAACAAAAATAGAAACATCGGAAATAGGAGTAGGCCATTCAGCCTTTTGAGCCTGCTCCATTATTCAATATGAACATGGCGAATCATCCAACTCGGTATGCAGTTCCTGCTTTCTCCCCATACCCATTGATTCTTTTTATCCTAAGAATTACTTCATGAAAAAAAATTCAATGTTTTAGCCTAAACAAAATTGTCTGAACTGAAATTAACATTTTTATCCAAAGACATTTGTCATATTCAGTGAAGCATGAAGAAAACCTCATCTCCTGCTTCAATTACACACATGTGATGTATTCACACATTGGAGATGAACGGCATCGCCTGCAATTATCAAATTTGGATACAATGAACTCAGACATTAAAATACACAAACCAACTTGTGTTTCAGGAAACTGCTTTTGGCAGAGCGCAGGAGATGTGTGACTGGAAGCAAATGGAGAAATTGCTCTCCCCCTGTCTCTCAAAGAACTAAGCATCTGGTTAAAACATAAATTGGATAGAAACATCTACACACTGAGACCTCAAAGAGATTGGCAATATTCACTATTGCTGAGGATGCAAGAAACCAATTTAACAACCATGGTCTCAAATTAAAGTCTTTACACCTCAAGGACACCCTAAGGACTTTAAACATGCATCATCTTTTGGCACTGGACACTCTGTATTTTTATTTTTGTACTCATTTCTATGTATGTTTAATAAAAATTAATTCTAGGAAAGAATCTGACAGAATCCTAATTATCGCAAGACTCATCTGACTCAGTTCCTTTAATTATTTTTGTTACAATTGTGGTCAAGATGGACTATGGAATTTTATTTTTTATCATCTGATTGTTGTACCTGAGACTTTTCATAGGGAATAAAAAACTTTTAGAAAGGAAGAAACAAGAACCTAAAATGGCTGCACTGGTCACCCTACCACAGATTGAGGTAAGCTTTGAGAGATTCATAAGGAATAAATGGCTTTGAAATTACTGTTTTCATCAAAAGTCATTGAAACCAGGCAATTGATTCAGTGTCAAGTAGTTCATATCTTCTGTCTTAATTCACATATGAATGATAATTTCACATATCAGGAGATGAAAAGCTCACCTGCCAGTTAGCCAATTTGGGATTACAATGGAATACATGTTGAACTTTATTTCAAAGCTGCTTTTGAGTGAATCAGAGAGAAGGAAAGAATGGATTTAAAAACAAGAACTGAAACACTGTCTCTCTCTGCTTGCTTCTCTTACCATTTTAGAATACAATGCTGAATGAAAAAGCAAATTGGGAAAATATCATGCATTGAGAACTCAAAGATATTTACAGATTCTGCAACTACTGAGGATACAAGACAACTATCAAACAACAGTGGTCTCAAGTTAAGAATCTAAAACATCAATGAATCTAAGATTTTTTTAAAATGGTACATCCTTTATTCTGAGATAACAAGGTGTAGAGCTGGATGAACACAGCAGGCCAAGCAACATCAGAGGAGCAGGAAGGCTGACGTTTCGGGCCTAGACCCTTCATCAGAAATGGTGGAGGGGAAAGGGGTTCTGAAATAAATAGGGAGAGAGGGGGAGGCGGATAGAAGATGGATAGAGGAGAAGATAGGTGGAGAGGAAACAGACAGGTCAAAGAGGCGGGGATGGACGAGAGAGTTCAAGGCCCGAAACATCAGCCTTCCTGCTCCTGTGATGCTGCTTGGCCTGCTGTGTTCATCCAGCTCTACACCTTGTTATCTCAGATTTTCCAGCATCTGCAGTTCCTACTATCTCTGATACAATTTTAACCCCACTGCGAAGCTGCTTCTAAGGATGCCTACCCTGAAGAAGTTAACCTCCTCCCTCCGGACAAACCTCAGGGGATCTCTCTCCCACTGCAACTCTCTCGTCCAGCCCTGCCTCTTTGACCTGTCTGTTTCGTCTCCACCTATCTTCTCCTCTATCCATCTTCTATCTGCCTCCCCCTCTCTCCCTATTTATTTCAGAACCCCCTTCCCCTCCCCCATTTCTGATGAAGGGTCTAGGCCCGAAACGTCAACCTTCCTGCTCCTGTGATGCTGCTTGGCCTGCTGTGTTCATCCTGCTCTACACCTTGTTATCTCAGATTTTCCAGCATCTGCAGTTCCTGCTATCTCTGATACATTCTTTATTCTCTCTGCCTGTACTGACATTCTCTCTTTTAAACTTATTATCTGTGTCTGTGTGTTTGTTTATTGTCATAATTTTATTATTTTTTCTTGGGGTTAGCAGGTAATAAAATTCCTCATTATTTCATTAAAAACAAACCTTGGTAATTGGCTCAACTCCATATCGGGCAATCACCTAGAAACCGATATTCATTTCAAGCCCACCGACTCCCACAGCTACCTAGAATACTCCTCCTCCCACCCACCTTCCTGCAAAAATGCTATCCCCTATTCCCAATTCCTTCGCCTCCGCCGCATCTGCTCCCAGGATGAGGCATTCCACTCCCGTACATCTCAGTTGTCTTCGTTTTTCAAGGACCGTAACTTCCCCCCCTCAGTGGTCGAGAACGCCCTCAACCGTGTCTCCCACATCTCCCGCAACTCATCCCTCACACCCCGTCCACGCAATAAGAATCAAAAAAGAATCCCCCTCGTCCTCACGTACCACCCCACCAACCTCCGGATCCAACGCATCATCCTCCGACACTTCCGCCATCTGCAATCCAACCCCACCACCAAAGACATCTTTCCCTCCCCACCCTTATCTGCTTTCCGGAGGGACCACTCTCTCCATGACTCCCTTGTCCGCTCCACACTCCCCTCCAGCTCCACCACACCCGGCACTTTTCCCTGCAACCGCAGGAAGTGCTACACCTGCCCCCATACCTCCTCCCTCACCCCCATCCCAGGCCCCAAGAAGACTTTCCACATCAAGCAGATGTTCACCTGCACATCTGCCAATGTGGAATACTGCATCCGCTGTACCCGGTGTGGCTTCCTCCACATCGGGGAAACCAAGCGGAGGCTCGGGGACCGCTTTGCAGAACACCTACGCTCGGTTCGCAATAAACAACTGCACCTCCCAGTCGCGAACCATTTCAACTCCCCCTCCCA